TTGCTGTCAAATATACTCGTATTCATCTGTTTTTTCTTATTTTTATATTCTATATATATATATATATATATATATACAGTATGATAGACAATAATTATTCTCGTAGTAGAAGATCAACGGCTGGTATCAATGCTAAATATGATGAAAAAGATTATTTATTGGTATCATTTCCAAATTTAAAAAAGCATGCTGTTGTACCATCACAAGTTGTTAATGTGGATCCACTTGATGAACGAAATGGCAGTATTAAAACATATGGTACCAAAAAACAATTATGAATTATTGCTAAAGGCAAGTGAATTATTTTGTTCATCTGATTCTGACCTTGAATTTTTGTCAGTTTCTCAGTCTCGCGGCGTTAGAAATGAGCAGTGTAGGCCCAAAAGGCTGAACCGATATGTGCACTCAAAAAAATAATTCGTAGATCATAAAAGCTGATAGATTTTCCACGAATTTTCAGAATCCGTTTATCGCTAAGCATTATGTTCGTAGAATCGCACTTGTGTACGCTGCAGTTTTTTAAAACAAGAAATATCAGGATTTTTCCTTGAATATTTTAGAAGATTTCTTGGAAACTTTAAGAAGAATCGGAGGAAGCAATGTCTTAGTGCCATTCGACTAATAGTGTGCTTATCATTCTGTAACGGATGCATTTTTTGATAAGGAAAATGTTTCCTTTTTTAAAAAATCAGTCTAAATAATAAAATTCTCGTGATCTGTGCTGATTGACAAAAAATTCATTAAAGTCCTTCTATGCCTGTTCCTCAGCTTCTGAATATATGTAACTGTGACTTTTGATTTTTTTGTGTGTTTAGGTTCAAAAAGGGAAGCCAAAGAACGGCCAACTCGATTTAGTGTCACTGCGGATAGCGAAGTAATTGATATAACACCAGACAATCAATCTGATCAAGGAAATCAACAACATGATGATGATGCTGATTATTCACCATCAGCACCAAAAACAACAGCATCATCGAAAGTCCAAACAAGAAAAACAGAAAAATCCACTTCAAAAGAAATTTTGATCCCCATTGAAAATCAACGACAACCGACAATAATTGATAATGTTGATTTTAATCTTAATTTACCAATAACAGGTATGTATGACTTTCTGTTCGGAATCTGAATAGACAACATTATACACTGGATTGGTTTATGTTTATTCTTTTTCAGAAAAAATGCTAACTAATGGTCAATTAGATTTTGATCGTATTTATCCATCATCAACAACTCAAAAAAGAAGAAAACGTCAGAATGATGAAAGTTCATTGAGTGGATCAGACAAATTCGATGATGAAGATGGTAAATGTCTTTCTGGTTTTCTCAGTTAAAAATGCATCTAGCTTTTCTATTTCAGATATGGATTTACTTATGCCAACAAAATCAAATGGTCGACGTGATTTAACAAGAAAAAGACGTTCATCCAAAAAAAAGACACAAGCTGATCCAACACCAAATAGTAAGTAATGCAATTTTCTTTTTACACCTTGCAGATCAAGTCTGTATTATACTTTTAGCTGATGGTCCCTGTTCTGGATGTTTAAAACTTCGTGCAGAATTAGCAGATATACGAAAACGGCTTGAGCGAATTAAGAAAGTAGTTTCGATAATTAAAAAATTTCGTTCAAAAACACCAGCTGTAAGTTGTCCCTTTCTATCGTCGTGTAATTCACAATTCATGGTTTTTCTTTTCTTTTTGTTTAGATAGCAACAAAAAAACAAACAAATGATATTTTCGCAAATAATGATGCTTATGCGCGTGTAAAAGTAAATTTTTTCTTTTGGTAACAATGTGCTTTTTTCTTTTAGGAACTTACTGGTATAGATCCAGATGAACGTCTACATGACCACCGATGATAATGCGTGAATTATGTACAAAATCTGGTCATGTGAGTGATATAAAATTTTTGGAAGATAATAAAGAATTATTTAAAGGTAAACAGGGTAATTCCACGTAACGGTCGCCTTTTATGTCTAAGTTTTGAAAAGAAGTTGTTTCTATTTCAGTTTTTTAGTTGCTTTTTCTCCTATGTCTTGCAATAGCTTTTAAGGTTTTGAGCGCATGGTTAAACAGAGAACTGTTTTGAGATCGCAATGATGCCATTTTAATTTACCTCGCGCTCATTCTTGAAGGGGAAAATAGAATTGTGAACACATAGTTATTTGTAAAATGCGTGATTCCGTAACGATGATATTTTAGCTATTTAAGCGTTAATTTCGGAGGTATTAAATTTTTTTTTCTCGATCGATAGTCTATGGACTTTTCTATAACATTGCCAGCAAGATTTTTCGCGTAAAGAATACAGATTAGCTGAGTTTTCGACAACTTTAAATTGTTTCGGAATGACTATTCCATTTTTGGTATTCCGTAACAATCGATATTTTTTTTAAAACCATGCATTCAAACTTCACCTAAATTTTACAGATTGTCGAGCACATGGTTAGACAGATTTTATAAGAATTTAAGTATCTTACCTTTTGAACTGACTGAGAGATTACAGTCAGAAGCGGAAAAAGCGTGATTCTGTTACGATTTTTTTGGCCCACCACGCATTTAATAAATTAACTTTTTTATCTTCCTCAAAGTTTGTTTTTTTTCGTTTAGAATTGATTCATTAGTGTCTTATACGTGATGACGATATCGAAAGTCACTGGAGAAATGTTATTGCATCCATTAGTCGACAAGCAATCGATAATAATAATAACAGTAAGATGAAAATTAGCCAGTCAACACCAGTACGATCATCATCAACACCAGCATTAGCAACAATTAGTCCTGCGCAAGAAACAACACCAGTTACAAAGCCATTATCATCACAAGAATATACAGCTTCAGTTTCGTTTTAGATAAAGGGTTATCTCAACTTTGGTCGAAACTAAAAATGTCGAAAGAAAAAATAGCGAGAAGAATAATGTTCGGAAAAAAATGATACAAATGTCGAAAGGTAAAAACATCGCAAGGTAAAAATGTCGAAGAATAAAAACGTCGAAAGATAAAGATGTCGATAGATAGTTTAGCATGGTTGATGTCAGTTATATCAGTGATGGGAAATTGAAACAATGTCAGGCAAACGAAATTCTACCACAACTCAGTGAAGCAATGTCAAAATATTGTACAATCAGCGACCAACCGTCAATTTTTGCTTATCCGTACGAAGAAAACATTAAAAATGATCCGATTCTTTTACAACTAGACCAAATGTCTTTATTGGATAGATTTAAACAAATTAAGCAGACTTTATCTGTGGAGATGCAAGATTTATTGCTAAGCTTTCTTTCGAACTCATCGCTAAATAATTCAGATAGATTATTTGACATGAATCCTATTCAAGGTATAACAGTTGTTTGGTTTGATCCAAAGGAGAGTGATCAATTAAATAGAAAAGCTCGCTTAGGTTCTATTGCAAATTACTTAAAAGAATTTGACAATGTTAATTCATGTATCAATTATTTATTATGAATCAAAAACGTAGCAAGAAAATTATTAGTTGTTCTTCCAGGTTCATATGGTAACACAATTATGCCATTTATTCACGATGACACAGACATTACATTTATTTACATATTTTGCAATGATAAAGAAAAACATGAAGAATGGACAAGATTATATTCGAATAAAATACGAGGTATTTTTATTGATAAACATGAACTTTTGACAAAATTAAGATGAAGATGTTTGCAAATTCTATGCAAAAATAGCACCAATGTCGGTGATACCAGCAAAACAAATAAAGGAAGAAACACCAGCTCATCATTTGAATGAAGAAGAAGCTTTATTTATGTGGTATCAATTATTGATCGAAATATTAAATCGTATGCCGTTAACATTTTTTTCAAGAAAAGATCTTTTGAACGAATGTCGACAAGAATACCAGGAAAAAGAAATTGAATTACGTAAGACACAAGAATTTGAAGATTTGTAGAATGCTGATAATGTAATCGAATGGTATACGCGTAATGCATTTCTTTACCGTTTATTAAACCGGACATTAAGAACAAGAGATATATCGATTATATTTCGATTTCGTTTCGTTCTTGTCGATCTTCATAATCGTCTAGCAGAACTGCATATTAAGTATATTCAGTCATTAGATAAAATTACAACTTTAACCATAGCTGTGCAATGGTAATATTTTATCCTCAACGCAGCCAAAATTCATCACTCATAAACTAGACTAATTCACCACCACAGTCCCCAGAAGTTTGCGAAATACTTTCAGAAGTTTGCCAGGCACAGCAGAATTCTGAGAAATATAACAGAATTTTGCAAGAATATTCTTAGAACTGTCACAGATTTGGCAGAATTTTGCCAAAACCAGCAGAATTTTGCGAAACCCTGTCAGAATTTTGCAAAGCATTTTCAGAACTTTGCCAAGCCAAGCAGAATTTTGAGAAATATAACAGAATTTTGCAAGAATATTCTTAGAACTGTCCAGATTTGGCAAAATTCTGTTATATTTCTCAAAATTCTGCTTGGCTTGGCAAAATTCTGAAAATGCTTTGCAAAATTCTGACAGGATTTCGCAAAATTCTGCTGGTTTTGGCAAAATTCTGCCCAATCTGTGAGAGTTCTAAGAATATTCTTGCAAAATTCTGAAAATGCTTTGCAAAATGCTGATAGGGTTTCGCAAAATTCTGCTGGTTTTCGCAAAATTCTGCTGGTTTTGGCAAAATTCTGCCAAATCTGTGACAGTTCTAAGAATATTCTTGCAAAATTCTGAAAATGCTTTGCAAAATTCTGATAGGGTTTCGCAAAATTCTGCTGGTTTTGGCAAAATTCTGGCAAATCTGTGACAATTCTGAGAATATTCTTGCGAAATTCTGTTATATTTCACAAAACTCTGCTTTGCTTGGTAAAATTCTGAAAATATTTCGCAAAATTCCGATAGAATTTCGCAAAATTCTGCGGACGGTGGTGGTGAATTAGTTTAATTGATTATTGTTGAATTTTGGCTGCGTTGAGGATAAAGTTTCACCATTGCACAGTCCTCGATCATTGATAGAATCAGTACTCTTTAAAATCGAATGTTCTGTAAAATTCTCAACAAAACCATTTGCTAATATACAAAAACATAGTTATTTGAAAACAGAAAATGAAATCTTTTTTTACAGTTAGAACTGTATTTCGAATTGAATCTGCTGAACGATTTACCGATGATATTTGGCTTGTCAAATTATTCTTATGCGAAGAAGAAACAAACTCAACAAGAAATGAATTAATAGATAAATTAAAAAGCGAAATAGATGAAACAGCAGATATTTTGACATCGGCCAAATTTCTACTGGAAATGGATGATGTAGATAAAGCAGAACAGTTTTATAATTTAATACTTAGTGAACTGCAAAAGACTTTGAGCTGCATCTTGTCTGACTATATCTTATCTGGTTCTTGTTAATATCTTGTACAACAAAAAAAAAACTTGCTTTAATTGCTTTACAAGATCGAACGAAAACGGAGAACCGAGAAAAATTTCAAAATTTAAGCCGCTAAAAACAGATAAATCCTTAGCGGGTCGAGCACAGCTGTGAGGTATCCTGATTCACTTTATTCGAAGAAAAAGGCTTTAAAAATTTCCGAGCACAGCTAAAGTTTTTGGAGATCTGAAAGCGGAAATTTGCGGGTTAGAAAGACGATTTCTCTTCCAAATGAAAGTGAGATCTATTCACACGTGAAAAGACCAAGGCGTTATCCAACAAGTTTGTTTCTCCAATTTTTATAGTGAAAATGATCAGTTTATTAATTTGAACAGTTTCTCGTATACAACATCAAACCTTGTTTTAGTGAAATCTGTGTATCGTCTCAGTTCGCACAGCATTCCCAACCAACCTGTTTTCGTAATCTTTTTTCACTACAAGAGGTATTGTACAAGACTGGAACTTGAACACATACATACTCAGCCTCGAGCCGACAATATGAAGACGATTTATAAGCCTTGGACATATAAATCAACACAAATTCCATGTTTTCAATTGCTTTTGCCATTTTTATTCTATCCACAAAAGTCGCCGATCTGATACTTACCCTCGAAATACCCTCTTTATAATGAATTTAGTCACAGTGTGCGCCTTGTCTTATGTTCAATTTAATTATTATTATTAGTCATCGACTGTTGATATTGTGTCAGCCCCCTCATATGATCACCCTTTATTACCACCTACTCAACATTATACCGTGTCTATACCCACACTCATAAGTGATGGTGTATTTTTAGATTTTTAGACCTAAAAATAACTTCGTCATTAAACTGATTCCGTCATTTCAATTTCTGTTTTCTTACCATTCAATCTTCCTTTCCTTTCTCTGTTCTTCACTTGTGGTAGAAAAAGGCAAGAAAACTGAAAAAGAAAGAAATTATTGTAACTTGTTGGTTTGTTCCAAGAGAAAATAAATTCTCAGTTTTCTTCCCTTTTTGCGCGACAGCTCAGATAAAGAACGA